TATTTGTATTGTTCTTGTTTTCTAGGACCTTGAGGTGCTTTAGGTTATTTGGGCTTGCTGTTTTTCTGATGTGGGCATTCACAGCTATAAACTTCCGTCTTAGAACTGCTTTCATTGTGTCCCATAAGTTCTGATATACTACACTGACAGTATTATTTATTTATGTATGTATTTATTTATTTTTGAGACAGGGTCTTGCTTTGTAGTTCAGGCTGGCCTTGAACTCACTATGTGCCCCAGGCTGCCTTTGAAATCAGAGCAATCCTCCTGCCTTGCCCTCCCAAGTGCTGGGATTACAGCTGTGCACCACCATGCCAGGCTTGGCATTATTGTTTAATTCTAGAGACTACTTTATTTCTTTCTTGATTTCTTCTGTGACCCATTGATTATTCAAGAATGCATTATTTAATTATGCATTTACAGAATTTCTGCATTTTTTTTGCCGTTGAATTCTAGTTTCATTGCACAATGATCTGATGATACACATTGAATAATTTAAACTCGTTTGCATTTACCTAACCTTGCTTCTTTTGCTAGTATGTGGTCTATTTTGGATAAAGTTAATACACTGCTGAGAAGAATGTGTATTCTATTGTTTCTGGGTGGAACGCACTTAGATGTCTTCTCAGTCCTGTCTTCTCAGTCCATTTGTTTGAAGGTTTGGTTCAACTCTGTTATTTCTTCATTGACTTTGTAATGTAGCTGACCTGTCTCTTTGTGATGGTAGGACACAGTAAGTCCTGATTTACAAACAAGTTCTGTTCCAGAAGAATTGTTCTTAAGTTGGATTTCTTTGTAAGCCTACCCATAGCCGTGAACTGACAGTGTATTATACAGTACATATGTGAAACTTTGTAGTTTGAATGCTCCTAAATCAGGCAGGAACTACTCTATTGAGAACCCCAACTATAATTGTATTGATGTTTATTTTATCTGACCTTTTATTAAGTTGAATGTGCTGTTGTTTGATGCATATATGTTTATAATTGTTATTTCTTCCTGTTGAATCATTTCCTTAACCAATATACAATAAGTTCCCAACTTATGAACAATTGATCTGCAAACTTTCACAGATAAGAATGGACCTTGCATTATAAACATTTGTAGATGTGAAAAAATTACAGAAGTAGCTCACATATCTGCCAGGCATTGTCACAGTTGTGCTGCTGTGTGCTTACTGTGCAGTGTGTTAGTGGACAGTAATGTAGTCAGAGCCCAGGAGGTCCAGAAACAAGAAGAAAAGTAGTGATGGGCTGGGGATTTAGCTCAGTTGTGAATTTTTTTTTTTTTTTTTTTTTTTTTTTTTTTTTTTTTTTTTTTTTACGGGGG